TACTAACTAAATAATAATATATATATATATATTATTATTATTATTATTATTATATATATATATATATATATATATATATATATATATATATATATATAGACCTCAATACTACTTGATACTTCTTCGATGAGCCATTATATAGATCTCTATATTACTCACTACTTATTCGATGATTTGGATATAACCACCACAGCTATAGTGCACGGCGGGCACACTCAAGAAATCCAGCATGAATTAGCAGTAGAAGTTAAAAGAACAACGAAGTACCTATTGCTTAACCGGTCAGATCAGAGCCAACTCATCGATTGGTTAGAATTAAAGACAAAATATAGTTATAATTGTAGTTATAATTATAGTTATAATTATAGTTATCGTTGTAGCTAAAATCATCCCTAGTAAGCTTACCGGCGATCCACACAACCCTCAACACACCCCACGCACACCATCTCGCCCACATACCTTTGATTGCTCCCGCTGCTCTCGTTGCTCCTGCTCTACTCCTTGCTCCTGCTCTACTCCTTGCCTCTGCTCCTGCGCCTCCTCCTTACCCACCCGCACCATCTCATCCCGCACTGGCTGGCAGATGTGGCAGCGGTCGCCCCTGTCACACGTGTTCCAGTGTCTGACGATGAGACGTGTGGGTAGGCAATGGGGTAGGTCGCAAGTGCCGTTGACCTCTTCCACGCACTGCTGCAGGTGATCATTGGCTTCCTGCATTGTGCGGCAGTTGTTGCCACACCCCCCGGGCACGGTGCAGTGCTGTGTGGTAGGGCGTGAGGGTAGGTGGTGTGTGGTGGGGCGTGAGGGTAGGTGGTGTGTGGTGGGGCGTAAGGGTAGGTGGTGTGGACAGGCTAGAAGAGGAGTGGATGAGAGAGACATGCATGGGCCAGTGTATGTGTGTGTATATTTCAGGCGGAAGAAGTGAGGATATAACAGAAACACACACATTGTACATCGAAAGCAGATCTTAAACCCTAAAACCCATATACGTCGAAAGAACTCGTCTGTGTAGCCCAGAACGCTCATCCATTAGAATTGTATACCGAAACCATAGGCTTGAGATAGATAGTATATGCGCTCGCTACAACAAACCCGCCCATGCACAAGCACAG